TTTCAGATGAATTAAATTAATGCAGAAACATTTTAAAGAAAAAACTTACGAGATAAAAAACGAATTCAAAAAGGAATTAAAAGGACATGAATGGAAAAATATTTAAAATACAAGAAGTAAAGCTGAATACAACTGGTGTGTCAGGACACCTTTGTTATTGTATGTGCTGCAGCTTTCTTTCTGTCTAGCTATGTGTCCTTGCACAGGTCATAACCTCTTTGGGTCTCATATTCTTTATCTGTAAAATAATCAGGTTGAATGAGAGGACTATTTTTGGTTTTGATGACTTTTTGGTTTTAAGATTTTATAAATCTAGACTTCCCAAAAACAAGATTGGAGCCTTGGTTTTGCATGCAACAGCCAACATATACATGGGTCCACAAAACATTTTTGCTTTAGCGTGTGTATTGTTGTTCAGTTGCTAAATTGTGTCTGACTCATTGCAGTCCCATGGACTGCAGCACACCAGGCTCCTTTGTCCTCCACTATCTCTCTGCTTTTTCACCACCAGACACTTCCACAACCTAGCATCATTTCTGCTTTGGCCCATCCGATTCATTCTTTCTGGAGCTATCAGTAACTGCCCTCTGCTCTTCCCCAGGAGCATATTGGACACCTCTGACCTGGGGGACTTAGCTTCCAATGTCACATGTTTTGTCTCTTCATACTGTTCATGGTGTTCTCCAGGTAAGAATACTGGAGTGGATTGCCATTCCCTCCTCCAGTGGACCACCTTTTGTCAGAACTCTTCACTATGACCTGTCTGTCCTGGGTGGCCCTGCTCGGCATGGCTCATAACTTCATTGAATTCCACGAGCCACTTTGCTGAGACAAGGCTATGATCCATGAAAGGGTGCTTTAGCTTTGGCAACACTCGAATATGCTGGTTATTGGCTGATTCCCTCAAGGTACCCTCCTGAATCAGGACTTATGCACTCACTGTACCTTCTGCTCCTTCTCTGAGATATTTGCATGCCTAATTCCTTCACCTTCTTCAAATCTTTGCTCAAATGTTACCTTTTCAGTGTGACTACCCTGACTATTTAAAACCATAAGCTCCTCCCACATCTATCCCTGTTTCTTGCTTTATTTTTCTCTATTGTACTTATTACCTTCCAATATATTATGTTATTTACTTCTTTTATTTATTGTCTATCTTCCCACACTAAAATGAAAAGGGGAGAGGGCAAAGTCTTTAACCTGTCATGTTCATTCTTATATTTCCAAGATCTATAATACAGCCTGGCACATATTAGATTCTCAGTAAATAATGTATAAAAAAATGAATTTTCCATTTTTATAACACCCTACATTTTCATTCAGTATTATGAAAATAAAACAATATGCCTAAAATCATGGAACAGTGGGAAATTCCCTGCAGTAACATGTATCTTTAAAAGAAAAAAATATTTAAATTAGATAAAGATTTTTTATTGAAGCAATTTTAATTTTTGCAGAAATTTCAGAAGATATGCAAGCTATATATATTGGATCATACGTAGAAGTCCTTGAGAGTATAGCATCTTTAGTATTCCGTTGAAATTTTGATCAAGAATACACATTCCTTTGACGCTAGCCATTCTTAATCATATTTAACTCAAGGCACATTGAAATATCTTAAATATTTGGTATAATAGTTTAGTTTAAATAGCATTTCCTTTACATAGAAAAATTTAATAAATAGCATCACTCTAGGGGTTAAAAAGTCCTCATTTAGTTTTTAAAATATAGATCTTATAGATATGTCACCATAGTAACAAACATTGGGAAAACAAGTCTTTTGAATTCATAAAGTCTAAGCGTTATGGATTAGTGAATACCTGGACTAAAAACATCTGTTTTATAGGCTCCTTAGGATTTGTTTTCTTCATGTGTGGTTTGGCTGCTCTCATTTACATACTTGTTCTCATTAGGGTTTCAGTTTCAGAGCTGGCCTCACTCTGCCATGGGAACAAATGTCTTGCCACGTGATACCAACTTTCCATTACATCCTGAAGCATTTGCAGTCCCAGAGGCAAAGAATTTATGGTTGGTACATGAGAGATGGAACCGTCACATAAAAGAAGCCAAATTGGAAAACATTTTTTCTCGGTGCCAATATAGTTTTAACATAATGAGAACTCAGGATAATCATCTAATGACTAAATGAATCATTGTTAAAACAGTGTTTTGGGCATAAAATAGCTAATGTTTCTAGTTGGCTGATAATTTTCATAGCAACCGTGGTATTTGGCATGTCCTAAACACCTTTCATTAGAGGCCTTCAGACCTCTTTGAAGCAGTTCATTATACTCTGAAACAGTTGTGAGAATAAGAGAGAATAATCCACAAGTTTTGCTGATATTCTGCAGCTGTGTAGAGGGCATCACATGGCAAATACTGAAAATGCACTGTGAGATTTCTCAGTAACTCTCTAGTCAAGTAGGGAATGGAGTAGATGCAGCAAGAGACATTCAGAATAAGTACTGAAAGTCAAGTCCCACGTTAGAGTTTGGTCAGAATTCCAAACTTAATTGTTTTATTCTTTTTTAAAAGTTGAAGTATATGAATTGTTTTAGTGTTAAAAAATAAATAAGTAAATGAATCATGGAGGCTATAGCAGGGTCACTATTAATATCCATAAAAATAACAAGGCACCATATTTCCAAGGAGTTCTATCTACTTCCTGTTTGTCTTTATTCCTTACTATGTTTTAGAGGTTTTTTGGTGGCAAGTATTATTTTAGTTTGGCTAGAAAATCAAGGAAAAAGAGTATTGAGGATAGCAGTCAATAACTGTAGGAACTGATTATGTAACTGTTCACATCTCTGATCATACCTTGCACTCATTTTACACTTTATGGTTGTTAAACTCTTGCCATGTATCATATCATTTCACCCTTATAACCATGTATCTATGACTTGGGACAAGTCATTCAGCCAATGGCCATGCTTCCCATTTTTACCAAATGGCCTGCATTTAACAGATACCCTTAACTAAGTCTACAGGAATGTTCCAAAATAAATAATAGAGTAGTCCAATGCATTATGTACTCTTTAAAAGAAAGGTATTATTTAAGTGGAAAGTATTATTATTTATCTAACTTGGGAAACTGAAATTTAGAGAGACCAAGTGAGTTGGCATTAAGTATTTAACCACATTAGTCCCAAGAAACACATAGAACCAAGGATTAACATGTTTATATTTTATAACTTAGGTAAAAAGCATGAGCTCTTATTACAAAGGGCAAAATATTGCCTCTTAAGTGGAGAATAGTACTTTGCAAAAACATAAACAAATATTTATTCTGAACCATGAACTAACCAATTTTATTTAAATGTATCAAACTGAATATGATTTCATCAGTTATTGATCAACATTCAGGCTACATACATATGAGAGCTGATGACAAAATCAGTTTATTTGAGGGACTTCCCTGGTGGTCCAGTGACTAAGACTCCACACTCCCACTGCAGGGGGCCTGGGTTTGATCCCTGGTCAGGGAACTAGATCCCATACGCTGCAATGAAGATCAAAGATCCTGTGTGCCACACCTAAGACCCTGCATACCCAAATAGATAAATTAATTTAAAAAACAAATATGAAAAAAACCCAGTTTATAATAAACCCATTTATTTGAAAAGATACCCAATTTGGGCACCTACAAAATTATTTGTAGATAATTACAGAATTATCCTGTAATTATTCTGAATTACATACACTGAAAGGAGAAATAGGTAATATTTTTTATTAAAATAGTATTTCAAAATATGTATATACATAATCAGAATAATATTTCATATGTAATAGTTAACTTCATCTGTGATTATAGCCTTACCAGAGAGTTGCCATATTGGAATAAAACTTCCTTAAGAATATTGGATGTTTATTTCTCAGTTTGAATAGCATGATATTCTCTAGTTTCTAAATTATTATTCTCTTTAAAATGTATTATTACCCAAAACTACAGGGCTAAAAGATTATTTGCATTTACTAAACATTGCTAACATTCTCAAATGATCATTTTAAATTATTTTATTTAAAACTTTTTTATAATGGAGAATTCCAGTATATATAAAAGTAGAAAGAATTGTATAACAAGAGACAACAGTTGCATATTTAGCAGGGTTCCTTGAAAATGGAGAAAAAGTGAGAACAGAGAGAGATGGAAAAGAATAAGTGTTTAGCACGTGCTAGGCAGTGTGGTAAATGCTTAAATGTGTCTTCATGGAATTTCTACAGCAACGCTACTGGATAAGCATTATCACCTCTCGTTTGGAGATGAAGATGTTGAGCCTGAGAGAGATTGAGGATTTCCTCAGGGGTTTAGAATCAGAGCCACATTTGAACTGGATCTGGGTGCCCCTAGGGTCCATGTTCTCACTCTGGCTCCATTTGATAATTTATCAACCACCAGATTAGATGCTCCCAAACTCGTGAAGAGGAACTACCTTCTGGATTTTTGTTTTGTTTGGAGGTCTCATGATGGTGAAAGAAGAGGCCAAGAGGAAGTGGTTCAATCCGTTCTGGATGAATTTAAGGAGAAGGGTTGCTGTCAGTGAGGTTCTTGAGTGGGGAGGAGGTGGGAAGGAGCCATTTCCTACCAAATGAGAGATGCGGTACAGGCTTTGGGGTACACCAGTCAGTTAGGCTGATGTGCTGAGAACCTGTGCTGAGGTTGGATGAGGCTCCCTAGACGACTTATTTCTGTTCAGTTATATTAAGGAGTAGAGCTTTTCTGATACGAGATAAAGAATTTTATTTTTCTATTCTTAAACAAAACAACTGGAGGTGATGGTCTGTCATTCTATTTCAATTAAAATGAAGATGCATCTTTAGCTGGAATGTATGTGTAACCATCTTGGAATTAGACTCTTCAGGGTCAGACCATCCCCACACAGCAGACAAGCGAATTCCCGGGATACCAGGCAATGTTTTCAGCAGGCTGCTGCTACTTCCTGCCCCAGGGAAGGCGAGACTTTGGTTCTAATCTCAGCTGTGCAACTGGCGAATCATCTTACCTCTCTGGGCCTCTGTTTTTCCTCTTCTGAAAAACAAGTAGGCTGAACCGAACAATTCCTAGAACCCCTTCTGATGCTTCTTCCATGCGTTTCCATGTAAAGAACAGAAATCACGGTTTATCCCTTAGGCTCTTTGGGGGAATAAAGCAACATGGAAGGAATTACCTTCCATGGCAAAACTCTCTGTCTGCTATACAAATTTTAGTGTCCAAAGATTTAAAGTCCATTAATCCTGAAGACTTGCTGGGAAGCAGGTCAATTGACATTTCCATATACTTACTTGAATGTGTTTTAGTGAAGTTAAACATTTTTTTCTGTAGGCTGAATAGAGTCAAATTAAACATTTTTTTTTTAACATTTCATTTTGAAATGTAATTGACTTGTTTTGAGTGTCTTATTTAGGTGTTTTTAAAATCTCAAAGAATTTTGTCAAACACCCCGTAAACTGTGCTGCACCTTCAGAAATTATTTTAGGGAAAATTGCTTGCTCTATCAAATGGAATAGATGAAAATTTAAATGTTATACTATTTCAGTTATTCAAATATATATATACCTTAATGATGAATACATACTAAATGGAAACATTTTACTATAAAATTAAACATTTTACTATAAAAAACTTCTGCTTTTGAATGACATAAAGTTTGTTAGTTTATGAGTGGGTGGATAACCTTGGTAAGGAAATGAAAAGACTTAAAATTGTGTAAAAATATAGATTCATCTTTTGAAGTTGTCACTTGCTCCACACACTTGTTGATTTCCTGCCCACTTAATGAGCACTGCCTACTTGCTAACATTACAAAGATGAGTAGATGAGTAAGATATACTCCCTGCTCCTAGGAAATCATAACTAGTAGATACATGTAATTTGTCTGGAGAAAAGGAGAGCTAATAAAGTTTTTCTCTTGTATCACCTCATTTGAACTGATGAAGTGGTATATCATTTTCTCTATTTTGCTCATGGGGAGACTGAGTCTCAAGGAGATTAAGTCACTGTCATGGTTAACTTGTTATTTGCTCAGTACCCGTGGTTCTGCTTAGCAAAGGCTGGGACCGTGTCTGTCCTTTTCACCCTGAAGCTCCAGTGGCTCCCATAGTAGCTGAACAAAACAGGTCCTCAGTACACATTTGGTGGGAGAATAGATATTGGAGTATTAGTATATCCAACAAGTACTGGATTGTAGAGAAACATTAGTAACATTAGTCCTCTCCCTCAAGTCAGTATTCTTACTATGCCTTGCTACCTCTTTAATTATATCTGTTAAGTATTAACAGAATGAATGCTTCTGGTCTGGAAAAAGAATTATGTACCACCTAATATTTTAAATAGGGAAAGAGATTTCCTTTGAAAAGCAGAAGCTGAATACCCTTGCAAAAATACCAAGATAAATCCCCCAGATTTAAAACTCAACCCTCAAGGTATTCTTTATGAAGAAACAATTATGTGTCAGGCTTTGCTATTGTTTGATGGCAAATCCAATTATTTAGAAATCTTTTGGAATTAGCCATTTGGAAGAGATGGCTGCAAGTTTGAAGGCCTAGAAGTACTATGTGTACTTTATTATAAATGTGGATGATATTTACAAAGCTTAGTTTATAGTTGATGCTAAGAAACAGGGTTATTAACGCTTCAGATTATAAGAATGGAATTCAAAATGACCTTGGCAAAATGGAGAGTTGTTAATCCTAAATAGGAACACATGTAGGTAGGAAAGACAGATGTACAATAGCTATAATGTGCAACTGTGGCGGAAAGGAATTTGGAGTACGAATTCAGAAATCACAAAGTGATTCTTGCATTACATTCTCCAGACCGTTACTGGAATACTCCCATCAGTCTTGGGCCTACCAGCTGAAGAGATTTTTTTTTTAACAAGGTGGATGAGACTCAGAGGATACAGAAAATAACAAAAGACTAGAGATTTAGAAATGTAACAACAGAAAACAAGTTGAATTTTAGTCATGTAAGTAATTTCTCAAAAATGTTTTATCATCCTTACACCCACTCTCAGAAGCTTCTCCAGATATGCTTCACCAAAATGAAGGGATGAATCAAGGTGGAAGAAGACAGTGGATTCAGGACACAGGCGAGGGGGATTCCCAGGAGATAGGGAAGGGACAGCCTGGGTGGCCAGTATGCACCTAGTCCAGGACCATCCTTCTCACTGATGAAGGTTACAAGGTTCAAGGAAAGACTTCTTTAAGAATGTAAACATGAAAGAATTTCTAACGTGTTTGAACTCTTCAAAAAAAAAGTTTCAACAAGCTGATGGAGAGTTTGGGGTTCAATTTGTGATAGTACACCAAATATTTGACATAACACACAAAAATCAACTCGAAGGAAACAAGTTGAAGTCAAAAAGAAAGAATTATAGTATACAGATGACAAAACTTACGTATAAATAACACTTATATACTGACACTAACATAGATACTAACTATTAATCTAACCGAGATTATGATCTGATGATACTGAGTGGATGAAGAGATGAGGAGCAGAATGTGTGTGATGGGCAGGAAGAGGGTGGTGGAGAAAGCTTTGTATTAGACTCCACAGTAAGAAGTCTTAACATAATCCTGCACTTCAAAAATCAGATTTGCATATAGACAATCATAGCATACTTAAAATTGTGGGTGGTGGTAGTGGTTTTAGTCGCCAACTCATGTCCAACTCTTGCCACCCCATGGTCTGTAGCCCTCCAGGCTCTTCTTTGCATGGAATTTTCTAGGCAAGAATACTGGAGTGGGTTGCCATTTCCTTCTCCAGGGGATCTTCCCAACCCAGGGATTGAACGTCAGTCTCCTACATTGCAGGCAGATTCTTTCTTGACTGAGCTACCAGGGAAGCTCAAAATTGTAGGAGTAAACACCAAAAACATCAACCAACCAATGAATTCAAACAAATAAAACAGAATAGCTAAAAACATTGAATATGGTGTAAGGAGAAAAGTATTGATGGGAGACACAAGGGACTGCTGTTTTTCACAGCAAGCTTTATAAGTTGGATTCTTTCAATTATGTGCATGTGAGGATGAAAGGGGAGAGTGAAAAAGCTGGCTTAAAATTCAACATTCAAAAAACTAAGATCAGGGCATCTAGTCTCATCACTTCCAACTAGATGGATAAAAAGTGGAAACAGTGGCAGATTTTATTTTCTTGGGCTCCAAAATCACTGCAGATGGTGACTGCAGCCACAAAATTAAAAGATGCTTGCTCCTTGGAAGAAAAGCTATGACAAACCTAGATAGCCTATTAAAAAGCAGAGACATTACTTTGCGAACAAAGGTCGGCATAGTCAAAGCTGTGGTTTTTCCAGCAGTCATGTACAGATGTGAGAGTTGGACCATAAAGAAGGCTGAGCACCAAAGAACTGATGCTTTCAAATTGTGGTGCTGGAGAAGACTCTTGAGAGTCCCTTAGACATCATGGAGATCTAACTAGTCAATGCTAAAGGAAATCAACCCTGACTATTCATTAGAAAAACTGATGCTGAATCTGAAGCTCCAATACTTTGGTCACCTGATGAGAAGAGTCAACTCATTGGAAAAGACCCTGATGCTGGGAAAGATTGAAGGCAAGAGAAGAGGATGACAGAGGATGAGATGGTTGGAAGGCGACTCATGACCAACTCGATGGACATGAGTTTCAGCAAACTCTGGGAGATAGTGAAGGACAGGAAGCCTGGCATGCTGCAGTCCATGGGGTCACAAAGAGTTGGACACAACTTAACAACTTAACAACAATCATTTTGATTGGCTCCCCTGGTGGCTCAGATGGTAAAGAATCTGCCTGCAATACAAGAGACCAGAGTTTGATCCCTGGGTTGGGAAGATCCCCTGGAGAAGGAAATGTCTATCCACTCCAGTATTCTTGCCTGGAGGATTAAAACAAACCACAAAAGAAATCAAATCAACATTAAAATCATTAACATAAAAATATAGTTAAGAAGTTACCTAATAGTATTTCCAAATGTGGGGAAATTTGTGTTTTCTTTTTTTTTTTTAATTAATTAATTAATTTATTTTTTTTATCACAACCATAGTGTATCTTTTTTTTTTTTTTTTTTTTAACATGTATTCCCCATCCCGGTCCCCCCTCCCACCTCCCTCTCCACCCAATCCCTCTGGGTCTTCCCAGTGCACCAGGCCCGAGCACTTGTCTCATGCACCCAACCTGGGCTGGTGAACTGTTTCACCCTAGATAATATACGTGTTTCAATGCTGTTCTCTTGAAACATCCCACCCTCGCCTTCTCCCAGAGTCCACAAGTCTGTTCTATACATCGGAGTCTCTTTTTCTGTTTTGCACATAGGGTTATCGTTACCATCTTTCTAAATTCCATATATATGTGTTAGTATACTGTAATGGTCTTTATCTTTCTGGCTTACTTCGCTCTGTATAATGGGCTCCAGTTTCATCCATCTCATTAGAACTGATTCAAATGAATTCTTTTTAATGGCTGAGTAATATTCCATGGTGTATATGTACCACAGCTTCCTCATCCATTCGTCTGCTGATGGGCATCTAGGTTGCTTCCATGTCCTGGCTATTATAAACAGTGCTGCGATGAACATTGGGGTACACGTGTCTCTTTCAGATCTGGTTTCCTCATTGTGTATGCCCAGAAGTGGGATTGCTGGCTCATATGGCAGTTCTATTTCCAGCTTTTTAAGAAATCTCCACACTGTTTTCCATAGTGGCTGTACTAATTTGCATTCCCACCAACAGTGTAAGAGGGTTCCCTTTTCTCCAAGACAGTATGGTGCTGGCACAAAGACAGAAATATAGATCAATGGAACAGAATAGAAAGCCCAGAGATAAATCCACGAACCTATGGTCACCTTATCTTTGACAAAGGAGGCAAGGATATACAATGGAGAAAAGACAACCTCTTTAACAAGTGGTGCTGGGAAAACTGGTCAACCACCTGTAAAAGAATGAAACTAGAACACTTTCTAACACCATACACAAAAATAAACTCAAGATGGATTAAAGATCTAAATGTAAGACCAGAAACTATAAAACTCCTAGAGGAGAACATAGGCAAAACACTCTCCGACATAAATCACAGCAGGATCCTCTATGA